ATCCGCTCGTCACTATGATGAACCAGATTTATTCCACCGAGCTGGACCCTCTGCATGGGCGGCAAATGCCGGTTCTCCATTCCTCGAAGGAGCATCGCTTTTTCACCGTATCTCGCAACCTGGCCACGCCATATGTGCAGGCAGTCGCTCGGGCGAGAGCCTCGGCCATGAAGGCCGATGCGAAAATCCGCACCTCCTGTAGCGAGCAGTGTGCGGCCGCTCCACATGTTCATGCCGAACCAGCGCTCGAGAGGACACGTATTCCGCCGTATTCGGCCGTATTCGGCCGTATTCACTGTATTCGCCCCCCCTCGTATTCACGCGGTGCTCGGAATTCGCTGCACAAGACCGTCTCCCCGCCCTCACGTCGGCGTATTCAGCGCGTAGGCAGATATGCCCCGCTCGCCCTCCAGATCCACGTGCGGCGCAAGCTGCCGTCGGGGAAGGCGCGAGACACGAGCCGAGAATGCTCTGGGCGCACGGGAGTGCGAGCGAGTCTTTGCGTCGAGATCACACGCCCTCGATCGAGCGAGTCTTTGCGTCGAGATCACACACCGTCGAACCGTTTGCGTCGAGCTCGCTCTTACCCCGTCCCACTCTCCTAACGCCCCCCCCCCCCCCCCCTCTCCCCGTACTACCACCAGCCGGGCGAGCTCGAGCCGCTCCCCGTCGTCCTGCGGCACGTGCTCGAGGGTCTCCAGGCGGCCCTCGCACCTTCCGAGATCGACCGAGATCGACCGAGATCGACCGAGATCGACCGAGATCGACCGAGATTGACCGAGACTGCCTCGTTCTCGCCCAGGCGACCCTCGCCCAGTCCGGCGGCGGCGAGGAGAGCCGCGAGGACCTCCACCGCTTCGCCGTCCAGCGTCTGGTCACCGGACGGCCAGATGACCTCGGGACGGTTCCACATCTCCCCTTGGCCTGTGCCGCGACGCTGTGTCATGGACCGCCGACGTAGGCCTGTCGATTCGGCGCTTGGGCCGCACACTCGCGGCCTGCTGACTCCCGGTCTCGACATGACGGGACGTGAGTGAGCGAGTCTAGGCGCTCGGCATCATGACGTTCATGCGCGTGCCAGACGAGGCGCCATTCACAGCTCTCCATTCACAGCTCTCTATTCACAGATCTCTATTCACAGCTCATTCACCGCTCGGCATCCATGTCTCGTTCATGCGCGTGCCAGACGAGGTTCATAGTGCCTTCAGACTCTCTTTCTCTCTCGCACAACCTCGGCACCTTGCCCTTGTCGCACGCCTGCCACACTCTCTTCCCCGAAGGCGTCAGATCGCTGCCCCGCACTTGCGCTTTGAGTTCTGTATTCAGCCAATGGAGCCAGCCCCCCCTCGCACCGGCATGGCACATGGCACACACCACACACCTTGGTGTGTGTGCGTGTGTGTGTGGAGGCGTGTGAACGAGGACCCCCCCCCGCCTCGCGCTAGGTTGTCTACGCCGGCATGGCCGAGGGTCTCGCCGCCATCGAACGCGAGGTCGCGTCGCGAGGCAGCGACGACGACCGCGTCTGCCTCCGCTACATCCTCCACGCCCGCACCGGCGACCTCCCCCGCCGGCGTGTGGAGCAAGGGGGTGTAGCAGGTGGAGAGCACACGAGGCTGCACGAGACTGCGCGAGATTGCGCGAGAGTAGGTGGAGCAACGGGGTGATGGACGCGGGCAGGCCTGCCGGCATGGCGCTGCAGGACTTTGTCGATCTCCCAGACTCGATCACTGCGGGGCTGCGGGCACCGCACGTCTCGCGGCGCTCCGCCTCTACACGAGCGCAGCTTGAGTCAGAGGCGTCTTGAGGCTGCAATTAGGCACCGCACGTCGCGGCGCTGCGCCTCTACACGAGCGCAGCTTGAGTCAGAGGCGTCTTGAGGCTGCAATTAGGCACCGCACGTCGCGGCGCTGCGCCTCTACACGAGCGCAGCTTGAGTCAGAGGCGTCTTGAGGCTGCAATTAGGCACCGCACGTCGCGGCGCTGCGCCTCTACACGAGCGCAGCTTGAGTCAGAGGCGTCTTGAGGCTGCAATTAGGCACCGCACGTCGCGGCGCTGCGCCTCTACACGAGCGCAGCTTGAGTCAGAGGCGTCTTGAGGCTGCAATTAGGCACCGCACGTCGCGGCGCTGCGCCTCTACACGAGCGCAGCTTGAGTCAGAGGCGTCTTGAGGATGCAATTAGGCACCGCACGTCGCGGCGCTGCGCCTCTACACGAGCAACTGCTTCCGCAGCCTGAATACGCCGCTGCGATCCGCCGGCGAAGGAGGAGCCCCCTGTTCCCGGGGAGGCGAGATCACTCGAGATCGCCCGAGATCACCCGAGATTAGGCGAGGTGGAGTACCCCTTCCCCGTGACGCTCTCCTTCATCTCGGACGCCATCCGGCGCCTCCGCGCGGTCAACGCGTCGCAGCGCGGCGCCAGCGAGAGCCGCTCGGCCTGGCGCGCGAGATGCTGATGAAAACGACTGACGTTGGACCGCTGATGGCGTGACACGTCTAGGTGCCAACCAGCCGCTCGACTTGTGGCGCGGCATGGCCAACCTGGACGTGGCGGACGCCTTCCTCGCCGAGGGGGGGACAGAGTTCGCGCCGATGAGCACTACCAGCAGCCTCGAGGTCTGGGAGATAGGGAGATCACCAGCAGATCACCAGCAGCCTCGAGGTCGCCGTCTCCCGTCTCAGCTACACCTCCACGTCAGCTGCACCGCCTCTCTCATTTCGGCTACAGCTCCGCTACAGCTCGATTGCTCACACACCCTCGGCGAATGCATCCGCGACCCCCCCCCCCCCCCCCGAGGTTGCCATCGCCTACGCCCTTGGAGGCGGGAGCGGAGGTCTGCGGGGGCGGCGCGCGCTTCTGTTCAAGCTCCGCGCAAACTCGTTTATTGACCGCGGCGCAGACCTGAGCTACTGCTCGTGCTTTGCGGCCGAGGCGGAGGCGCATCTCTCCCCATATATCACCCTATATCTCTTTAGCTTTGCGGCCGAGGCGGAGGCGCGCGCGTGCGTGCCACGGACGCCCCTTGTGCACACGCGGCACAAGGCAGCACACACGCAGCACGCACAGCACGGGCAGGAAGGCGCAGCGTCGGTGGAGACACTCCCCCCGCTCTTCAGACACGAGTCGAAGACACGAGCCCATCACGTCCGCCGCTCGACGCCCTAGCTGTCGCCGTTTCGCGCCGCGCAGGTATGCTACCCGCCGCTCACTTTCCTCGCTCCGTCCGGGCGGCGGGAGGCGTTCGAGCACGGCGGCGTCACCTTCGAGGTCGTCGAGGTGCTGCCCTCCTTCTCGTCGTGACGGGGGAGAGGTGCCATCGGCACGCTAGCATCCATCGTCCATGCACCCTGAATCTAGCTCTGTGAATTTGTTTTGAAGAGGGGACTTGGGAGAACATGTGCATGTGCATGCACATGTACATGTTGTGTGACAGACAGACAACCCAAGGAGGCCCGAGCGTGTGGAGGGAGGGATGCGGATGAAGCTGAATTAGCCGTAACCCAACCCCTGGTTAGTGCATAGTGGGTCCTGTTAAACTGTGTTTGTTATGACCTCCCCCAATGAACACACCAGTGAGGGAGGGCGAGACGATCGAGGGGTCCCGTACCATGCGGAGTCGACCCTATCCAGTGCTATCGATGCCTGTCGGCTCTCCAATCTCGTCGCCGGCGTCAGGCCCGCATGGCGCGCTGCTCGATGGCAGCCTGCTCAGTACGCCTTGGACAATGACTTCTGCCTCGCTGCTCTTACTGCAGCCGCCTCCGGGGCCTGCGCCGGCCGCCTCGCTTCGCCAGTGCTGTCTACGCCTGCGACACGCGTGTCGGCTCGCCGCCCGCGTCGCCCGCGGCGGGCCCGCATGGCTCGCCGCTCGTCGGGAGCGTTCCCAGCAGTCTGCCTCACTCAGGGCGCCGCCGCCGCTGCGCGGGGCCGCCACCGGCGCTGCTGCCGTGAACGCTGCCGCCGTGTACGCCACCATCGCCTCTCTTCGTCGCCGATCTCGCCGACGCCGCTCGCCGCTCGCCGCCGCCCTGCCCTGCCCTGCCAGCCCTCGCACAAACAAACCAACACACACACACACACACACACACACACACACACACACACACACACACACACACACACACACACACACACACACACACACACACACACACACACAAAACACACCCTGCCCCCACCTCGAGCGCCCCGCGCCCTCCCGCCCCACGCCCTGCGCCTCACGCCTCGCGTCCCACGCACGCCCCGCGCCCCGCGCCCCCTCATCTCGCGCCTCACGCCTCCCCCCCCCCACCCTCTCAGGCATTTCTCCTCCCTGCTGCTCGCCGACTCCTCCTCCCCCCGCATGATCGACGACTACCCGTCCTTCAGCGACTCCTCCCTCCTCGGCGCCAACGTCTACTATACCCGTTCTGCCCGGTGAGGGGCGGGAGCGCAGCCATTCCAACGGCTGGGAAAGTTTCTGAACGGCCGTGCATGCGCCTGCATGCCGGCTTACTAAGAAGGTCCCTCGCTCCGGCTCCTCTCTCGGAAGACGCGCGCCGGCCGGGGGGGCTCGCTTGCGATCCCGCTCCAGCCAGAGGCCGCGTGAGGCCATTCCAACGGCCAGGCCGCTCGCACCTCGCTTAAGGCTGATTGGCTAGACGAGCGGCCCCTACCTCCAACGGGGCGGCCCGGGAACGCGTGGAACCTGCCCGCCTCGGGAGGTGGTTTGGCGCCGACGGACCGCCCTCTCCACCACCCTCGCCCAGGGATCTACAACGCTGTCTTAAGGTCCGACAGGTTCGGCACCGGGCACCGCCTCGGTATACAAAATGCGCCTGCGGGCGGCCCCTTACAGATCACAGATCACAGATACGCGAGAGTGGACCCGCCAAGCCCCGAACCCCGAAGCGCTCTCCCCCACTCGCACACACACACACCCGTCACCACCGACAGCGACACGTGCGCGACGCGGCCCGCAGTGCGGCGGTGCGGCGCGTGGCACGGCGTGCGCCAGAAAGTGGTCACTGCACTCTGCACACGCCGCGCTCGAGACGCGCCGCGCCCGCCCGTGCCCGCCGCGCGGTGACTCATGCTTTCTGACGTATCCCGTAATCCCAGCCGCCAGATGGCTCACGCGGCGCACTCCCATTACAGCTCATCCATGTCGGCATGCAGGTCTATCGGCTCCGGTGCAACCCACTGCCGACCCACTGCATTCGCATGCTTGTACCGTTTATGCTAGATGGAGTTGTCGCTGAGGCAGCTCGCTACGGCCTCGCGGCCGTCCGCCTCGACGAGGCACTCCTCGAGAGTCTCGGCATGTGAAGCGCTTGTCGGCTTCGGTGATGAGCGTGGAGGGGCAGCGAGTCGCATCGACGATGTACTTGTTATCCGTGACGTCGATCGGGTATTTGTTGAACGGCAGGAAGCACTCCTCGATTTGTGACAGGCCCTCTGCGGCCGACACGCATTCGTCGAGCGGCTCGCTCGAGGCCGATGGTGCAACGAATGTGCGCTTGGTCGCGGCCGTGCCTGCGGTCGGCACGGCATTGGACCTGAAGTGCGGCTTCCGAAGACGCGCGGCGGCCGTGCCTGGCATCATGACAACGTGCGCGCGGAGGTACACGCGAAGCCCCAACGCGAGAACCACCGTGAGCAACATGCAGCGGGAGCTGATCACCGCCGTCAATCATCACCGGAATTCGTTTCGCGCATTTGAATTTTACCATAAAACTCCCTCGCACAACACTGGGCACGGGACTGGCGCGCACTGGCACTAACACAGGTACACCATAAAAGAAGAAATAAGAAACGTACACTAGGCGGGAAGAGTGGCGACGGCTAGCAACATACCTTCCTTCCCGTGAAATCCCTGTGTGGTGGCCCAGCGAGGTCGGCATGCAACCGCTCGCCAGACAGAGCAGCGGCACGCGCCCTCACTCAAAGGGCGCGACGCCGCAAAAGCGGGCCGGCGTGGCCAAGCCTGGAGGCGCGATCGCCACGCCGACATGGCCGAACGGACGACGCCTCACATGCATGCCCTTCGCCCACCTCGCTCAAGGAAGCCCAGGTTCGCCGACTCAGTTGGCCAGTCAGAGTAGGTCGACGTAAGGCTTGCGCTTCTCCTCGTACTCCTCCTCGGTGATCGCGCCCGAGTCGAGTAGTTTCTTGAGCTTGGCCAGCTGCTCGGTCGGGTCCTCGCGTCCCATCTCCATTGGAGCGACCGGCACCGCGGTGGTCACGACGACCTGCTGCGGCGCCGACGTCAGCGCATCCTTGGCCGAGCGCAACAGCTGGATCACCTCCTGCGGATTGTCCACGAGCATCTGCATGAGCATGTTCGGTGTGCCGCTGCGGTGCTCAGACGAGTTTTGGCCGCCCGCAGTGGCGAGCGGGTGGCCCAGAGGCAGGCTGACAATCACCTGCTGCACAGGGAAGCACTGGGTGCCACACGCCGCGCCTGGCATGTCGAGGCTGAGCCCCGAGATGTCCTGATGAGGGACGTCGCCCGAGTCGCGGCCAGGCGTGCAGCAAACAAAGCCCAGTTCTTCGGCGTCCACCGACTTGTACAGACGCTTGTCAGTGATGATGTAGACGGTGCTCTTGAGAATCTTGTTGCCAGATTGAATGGCGGCGTAGAGGCAAGGCGAGCAGAGTAGGGCATGGGGCCAGAAACATCGCCAAGCAGCACGCCATCGGCTGCTTGACCGCGTTCTTGCGATTTTTATCGGATACGACATAAATGCCGAGGATGTTTTCGCCGGGCTGCACGATCTGGCGAGCTCGGTCCTTCGCCCACTGCGGGACGTCGCTCGAGCCCTTGGCAATGGTGACCGACATGGCTCCGGTAAGGTTCGGACCGTGTCTTCGGCGGCTCAGTTTTTCCCCGGAAATGAAGAAAACGCGCCGAAATAATAGAGCGCCACCGTTTTCTTGTTCTAAATTTCACGTGTCCAAGTCGAGGATCACCGGGCCCCCTTTAATCACGATCGCGACGTGATCCGCAGTTACGCGCGTCCCATCCGGTGGGGAGGACGGCACTGTACGCGGACCGCCGCAAGGTCCACCGGGGGGCGAGCCCCTGGCAGCCGCGCGCGATGGCGAGAGCGAGGGCACGCTGAATCGGCGGCGGTCGCCCAAGCAGGTTTTTATATGCCTTCCTCGCTCCGCCCGCTCGGGTGCGCGGTCGGCGCGGCCCTTCTCCTTCTCAACCTCAGCCTCCTCCTACTCGCTGCGCACTGCGTGCACGCACGCAGGCTCGTGGATACTCGGCCGCAGCCGTCACCGCTCAAAGAGCCAGCGGTGGCGGTGCCGTCATACGAGCATAGCCCCGCCAAGATGATGCTACCGCCACAAATCCGCGTGCCGTCGGTCGCTGACTGTGGCGGCACAGTGCGGTGGCCTTTCATTGCTGTGGCAATGTACTCGGCAGCATACACCGACAAAGAGCGGCGCCTCGCCGCGTCGTGCGTGAGAACCGGCACATGCTACTCGTCGTCGCTCGTTCCGCCAGATACGTTTGGAGATGCGACGTCCGATGACGTCTTCCGCCGACGGCTGATCGCAACAAAGCCGCTCTTCATCTTGCGCACGCTCGAGGCGTCGCCCGTGCCTGTCGCATGGATGGATGTCGACCTCGAGCTGATGAAATACCCATCGCTCTTCCTGCCGGGTGCGTGGGTGCCGCCCCGCGATGCGTTGCTCTGGAACTGGCGCGCCAATGAGACGGCCAACCTGCAAAGCTTTGGCGGCCGCCGCCTCAAAATGGCGTCTGGAGTCGCCTTCTTCAACCGCACGGCCGCGGCCCGTGCGCTGTTGCGCGGCTGGGCGCAGGCAATGGCATACGAGCCAAACGCCCTATCCGCTGATGATCTGACCATGGATCTGCTGGTGAATAAGGATGCGTGGATCGATCGTGCCTCCTTCGGCTGGCTCCCCGCTGCATATCTGCGCACGCTGGCGCAGTCGCTCCACGCGCATGTTGACCCTGTGATTGAGCATGACGCGGGAAGACCACCGGGCCTCAACGGTATGGGCGGCACGTTCCCGGTGCTGCCGCCGCACGCGCAGCCGTTTTGATCGCTTTCGCCGGGCTCGTTGCGCCACCACCGCCGGTTCGGCGATCTTTAGGGACCCGCGCGCATTGCGCGCATCCTCACATCTCTGGACGAGGTCCCGGCCACGCGGTACGGTCGAGCAGCGACAGCACCGTCAGGATCGAAGAGGCGGGAGTGTTATCGCAGCAGACGCTCCTCATCTACTTGAACGAGAGGGCCTTCACCGACGCTGGGGGCGTGGTGGCGGCGACGATGCGGGCAATGGACGCTAGGCTGCCGATCGTGCTGGTGCACGCGGCAGGATGAGGAGCGGGGCGCTTGCGTCCTTGCGCGCTATTTTGACCTTGCGCCGGGCGTGCTCAGCAGCCTCCATTCAAGCTGTTTCATCTGGTGGCGGTGCCTCTCCACCCCGCTCCCCGGCGCGGACCATTGCACGATCAGGTGCGCAACTCGTCTCATGCCGTTAAGAGACGTGATGTGATGAGTGCACATTGGACTTCACATTGGCACTGGCACATGGCACAGAAGCCCGAACGTTCCGAGCGCACCGGCTCTTGCGAGGGCCCCGTACGGCATGCCATCTGGTTCAGAACCAGCGGCACGCGGCTGCGGAAGCGGCAAGCGGCTGCGCGGCAGACTCGCGGCGGTGCCGCATTCTGGTCTCTCCACTTCCCCCCCCCCCCCCCCCCTGTCGTCTCTTGTCGCGTTGTGAACGTAATAAGGTGTGCCGCTCTCTTGTCACTATCCATGTGGGTGTGGGAGATAGTAACAAAGAAACCGGAACATAAGGTGAGAGCGCCCCGCGGGTCCCGCCGTTCGAACTCTCGAGGCCGTCTCGAGACGGTCCTCGGTCGCCGCAACCGTGCCTCTCGTCAAAGGTGTCGCGCATCAGAACAAAGAAAGAACCAAGGGTAGGTCGCGCATCAGAACCACGCGCCTCCACCTATCTAGACCGGACGCGGAACCATCCACATCATCACTGGCTCGCGGCAGTAAGGGCACTCTCGCATCAGCTCAGAGCATGGCCCGCAAGCGCACAAGTGCCCGCACGGAACCGCAGCATGCGACTTGACTCTCGCGAAACACACGATGCACGTGGTCTCGCCCCCCATCGTGGACTCGGGGGCAGCCGGCCGCCCCGTGTCGAGGCCGGCGTCCGCTAGTGAGACGGCAGCGAGCGGCTCGGTGACTGGCAGATGCTGCTCCGCCTCGCCCGCCTCTGGCCCGATCAAGCGCTCGATGGCGCCGACCCGCTCCTCGAGGCTGCCCTCGGTCGCCGTGCCGAGGCTCGCCTCCAGCCGCTCGACACGCCGCGGCAAGTCCCCGCCGCCGCCGGCCGACTCGCTGCTCACCGCCTCCTCGCACCGCGACACCCGACGCGCCAGCGCCTCCTCCTCCGCATCCACCTCTGACCGGCGCAACGCCTCTGCCAGCTCCGCATCCTCGCGCAGCGCCGCCTGCTCTGCCGCACCCGCTAGCTCTGCCGCCTCTCGCTCCGCCCGCCTCGCCGCCTCCTGCTCAGCAGCCAGCCGCGCCGCCTTCTCCTCCTGCTCTCGCAGCTCTGCCGCAGCCCGCGCCCTCCGCTCCTCCTCGAGCTTCAAGGCGGACGGCGCCTTCTTGGCCTTATTGTTCTTCGCCTTGGCCTCCTTCTTGGCCGCCGTTGCCTCCACCGCCTTTGCGCGCCGCCTCGCCTTCTCCTCCTCCGCCCTCCTGTCCGCAGCCTCCTTCTCGCGCCGCGCCGCCTCTGCCTGAGCGGCTTTGCGCGCCGCCGCGGCCGCCCGCTGCTCCTCTCGCTGCGCCTCCTCTGCTGCTCGTCTCTCCGCCTCCCTCGCCCGCAGCGTCTCCTCTGCTGCCGCGCGCTCAGCGGCCAGCTTTGCCTCCGCCTCCGCCGCAATGGCTCGCCTCTGCTCCTCCAGCGCCGCAGCGTCCGCCGCCCGGCGCGCCTCGTCCGCCACTCGCTCTGCTTCGCGCTGTCGTGCCGCCTGCTCGCGCTCTCGCGCCGCCGCCGCCGCCTCCCGCTCGCGCTGCTCGCGCCGCCCCTTGGCCTCGCGCGCCTTCTCGGCCGCTTTCTCGGCCGCCTCCGCCGCCCTCAGCGCCGCTGCGTGCTCTGTGAGAGCGCGCACACACCCGGCGTGGTCCGTTTCAGGAGCACTGGCGGCGTCGGCAGTAGCTAGCACCTTGGCCGCCTCCTCCTTGGCGATCTGCAGCGCGGACATACCGTCTGCAGAGCGAGCCTTTGCATCTGCGCCAGCCCGAAGCAGGCGGATCACGACGGCGGGGTGGCCGCTATACGCGGCGCTCATCAGCGCGGTGGCGCCGTTGCTGTTCTGCAAGTTGACCTCAGCGCCGTGCTGCAGCAGCAGGTCAACCACCCGCTCGTGGCCTTCGTCGGCGGCGAGCACCAGCGCGGTGCCGCCCTCGCTGCTCTGCAGGTTGATCTCAGCGCCGTGCTGCAGCAGCAGCTCGACCACCCGCTCGCGGTTTTTGTTGGCGGCGAGCATCAGTGCGGTGCCGCCGCCGCTGTCCTCCTTGTTGACCTCAGCGCCGTGCTGCAGCAGCAGCTCGACCATCCGCTCGTGGCCGTTGCGGGCGGCGCACATCAGCGCGGTGGCGCCGTTGCTGTTCTGCAGGTTGACCTCAGCGCCGTGCTGCAGCAGCAACTCGATCACCCGCTCGTGGCCTTGGCTCGCGGCATCTATCAGCGCGGTGAAGCCGCCGCTGTTCTGGTTGACCTCCGCACCATGCCGCAGCAGCAACTGGATCACCCGCTCGTGGCCGTAGCCGGCGGCGTTTATCAGCGCGGTGCCGCCTTTGTTGTTCTGCAGGTTGATCTCCGCGCCGTGCTGCAGCAGCAGCTCAACCAACCGCTCGCAGCCGTTGCCGGCGGCACCCATCAGCAGCGTGACGCCGCGGCTGTCCGGCAGGTTGACCTCAGCGCCGCGCTGTATCAGCAAGTCGATCACCTGCTCGTGGCCGTTGCGGGCGGCGCACATCAGCGCGGTGACGCCGTCGCTGCTCTGCAGGTTGATCTCCGCGCCGTGCCGCAGCAGCAACTCGACCACCCGCTCGTGGCCTTCCTGGGCGGCAGTCATCAGCGCGGTGAAGCCGTCGCTGTTCTGCAGGTTGATCTCCGCGCCGTGCCGTATCAGCAGCTCGACCACCCGCTGGTGGCCTTCGTCGGCGGCGTACATCAGCGAGGTGCCGCCTTCGCTGCTCGGCAGGTTGATCTCCGCGCTGTGCCGTATCAGCAGCTCGACCACCCGCTCGTGGCCTTGGCTGGCGGCGTGCATCAGCGCAGAGTAGCCGTTGCTGCTTTGCAGGTTGATCGCCGCGCCGTGCCGTATCAGCAGCTCGACCACCCGCTGGTGGCCTTCGTCGGCGGCGTACATCAGCGAGGTGCAGCCTTCGCTGCTCGGCAGGTTGATCTCCGCGCTGTGCCGCAGCAGCAGCTCGACCACCCGCTCGTGGCCTTGGCTGGCGGCGTGCATCAGCGCAGAGTAGCCGTTGCTGCTTTGCAGGTTGATCGCCGCGCCGTGCTTCAGCAGCAGCTCAACCACCCGCTCGTGGCCGTAGCAGGCGGCGTGCATCAGCAGCGTGAGGCCGCTCAAGCCGCCTCTCTCGTACGTCGCGTTGACCCGCCCGCCGCCATCAAGCCACGCCAGCACCGCCACCTCCTCGCCTCGCTCAGCCGCTAGCACGGCCGCGTCGGAGCAGCTCAGGGAATCTGCGCCGCTGCTAAGCTCGCGTGCCCCTGGGGGGCCGGCGCTAAGCTTTGCCTCCACCATCGCTGGGTTCCGGCTCTTTGGAGGTAGGGCGGGCTGTAAAGAATTTGCGGGGGAGGTAAGCGTGCAGTGTCCTGTCCGAGCATATGCCTCGGTCGTGTGCTTGGATTTTTGGTACTGAGTGTCGGGCCGTGCATTCCATGCTGCCCACACCCACTGCTCGTTCTCAGGGTGGCATATTCCTGTTCACACCCACACACGGGGTAATCACCTCCCGCTCCCCCATGAATGTGAATCGCCGAACTTGAACGGCGGGCGCTTGACGAACCAGGGGGGAACGGGCGTGGCAACCACAACCACGTCGGGCGTGGTTGTGGCAACTCATGATCGAACCAGCGACTCAACAACAGGAGCGAGTGCACTGAGCCGGTCACGCGGTGCCCGTACCGCTTCCCAAACGGTGAGGTCTGTGGCAAGGACCACCACATCAAGCACTGCTGGTACAAGAACCCGAAGCTGTGCTACAGCAAGAAGATCCGGGATGAGATCCTGGAAAAGATCGCCGACTCAGCTTCCAAAGCAAATGAGGAGCAAGATGACGGTGTTGTTCAGCACTACCTCGCCACGGCCGAGGACGAATACTACGAGGGTGAATCTGCAGATGGCATTGAAGAGGCATAGGACAATTTGCCTGCCGCCCCTGCAAATTGCCAACGGACAGGCGCTGGGACTCTCCTCTCACGCATGAATAGACAAGACGTCCATCCCGTAGAGAGATGGTGAGCAGACGGAGGTTGCGTCGCCGTACTCATTCAGCATGACACCATAGCTTAGGAACGAGCTAATACATATGCAACGACTAGGATGTTCGGGCATCGGCTAGTCGTTGGGGGGGTGCGCTGCTCGTTCTCAGGGTGGCATATTCCTGTTCACACCCACACACGGGGTAATCACCTCCCGCTCCCCCATGAATGTGAATCGCCGAACTTGAACGGCGGGCGCTTGACGAACCAGGGGGGAACGGGCGTGGCAACCACAACCACGTCGGGCGTGGTTGTGGCAACTCATGATCGAACCAGCGACTCATAGAGTCGAACCACGACTCATAGAGTCGAACGTAACCACGGCGGACGTGGTAGTGGCAACCACGGCGGACGTGGTTGTGGTCGGTCATGATAAAACCGGAAAGGAATAACAAAAGCCACCCCCACGACTGAAAAGTCTTAATGGACCTGTCCTAGACTCTGTGGCTGAAGTAGCGTGTGCGTCGAAGCCACAAGAGGGCTGGCGTCGTCCGGAGTTCCTTGAGAGGGGGGTTGGCGTATTTTAGTTTCCTTGAACGGTTGATGAGACTGTGAAACGATCGCCGCAAGGGGCGTGAACGCACAAGTGCGTAATGACCGCAAGTGGTCGTGAACACCCCAAGGGGTGTGAAAGTAAATACTCCACTTATTCACAGATACCATACCAGCAAAGTACCCGAATCCAACTCCACGTGCCCAAGCGCACACCGGCCGGAGCGCCACCGGGGGGTGCCGCCCTCCCGTTCATGAGCCCAACAACACGAACGCTATCCATCCTCACCGGCCCCCATCCCCGTGGTCGGCCTCGCTCGCCGCGCCAAGCCGCGGTCCGGTCGTCCGCCCGGCGGCCAAGCCCAAGGGCGGGGAGGGGGCCACCCGCGCTCGCGCAGACCCACACCCCCGCCGCTGGTAGCCTGGTACTCGAGCTGGCCGGCTTCTGCAAGCAGACGCTGAGGGCCCAACAGGAGAATCGGCTTTTTGGGTTGGGTTGGGTTGTTGGGTCGGGTTGGGTTGTTCCGCGTAAGGTTGGGTCGTCGGCGCGAATGGTGAGGTCTCGACCGCCGCCGCTCACGCCAGCGGACGGCCACTGCCGGTGTTTTTGGCTTCGCCACCGTCCAAGGCGTGCGCCATGCGCTCGCCGGCATCGAGCGAGCACGCCTGTCCGACGAGCGGCTTGCTGTGCGGACGCCTTCTTGTGGCTCTCGTCGACGGAGCGTTTTGCGTCCCGGCGGGTGGGAGAATATGTGATAGGAACGAGTGTATCGCTTTGACGGGTCGACCGTACTTGTTATCAAGACTGATATGACGCACACAGTGACACATCAGACGACACATGCTCTGTGCAGCGCGAGGCATATCCTGGCAACCTCCGCGTTGAGCTCACGGCCCTTCTCCGAGCCGAGCGGCTCTTTATCCTTGCCCATCATGACCTGCGTCCCGTTTCTGTCGGACAGCGCCCGTGTCCCGGCCTCAAACTCGTCCCACCGCAGTAGAACCTCGAGGCGAAAATAAAATTAAAACTGTATTCTCCCTCTCTCTCTCTCTCTCTAAACTCTGAGGCGCGAGGAGGGCGGCGACCTCGACCGACTATGGAGGCCGTCGTCGCCAGACGACGCAGGGCAGAAGACGGTGAGGCGGAGCAGACGTGCAGGGCGAGACGAGGGAGGGAGCAGGACTTTGCGGAGATCAGCAGGACGGGATGTACGAAGAGATTAGGAGCAGGGCAGGGACCCGAGGGGCCATGTGGAAGACGGCTAGTGCTAGTCCCCCATCGGGAGGACGACCCCGGCTAGTCGCCGACCACACCCACAAAGAATTTTACAACAAAGAACCCTGCACAAAGATCCACCGCACAGTAGAGAGGTGTCCGTTTTTATGTTTATTCCGGCGCGCCGTGACCGTCGGCCCCCGGACTCGGTTCTTCGCGGCCTGCGCCGGAGAGTTGGCGGTCGTGCGCTGGGTGGTGATCGTCATCTGTCTGCTCTGCTGTGCTTCTCGCTCGTGCGTCCTTGGACTTGTGCTGACCTCCTTTCACCTCCTGCTCTCCTATGCCACGTGGCTGTGTGTGTTTGGGTTTCTATGTTTGCGATTTGGATTTTGGATTTTCCATTGCACTTTGTTTATTTATTTATTCTCTCTAAACTCTCACTCGAAATCTCTCTCTCTCTCTCTCTCTCTCTCTCTCTCTCTCTCTCTCTCTCTCTCTCTCTCTCTCTCTCTCTCTCTCTCTCTCTCTCTCTCTCTCTCTCTCTCTCTCTCTCTCTCTCTCCCCGCTCTCTCTCATGTCAAAAAACAAACAGTTGTTTGGTATTGCTAAAAATCTCTCTCTCTCATGTCTCAAAATCTCTCTCTCAGAAGCGGAGCACACACGAAGTCGGCACAACAAAAATCCCCTTTGCAGCCAAGCCTACAAGGCACCTAATTTCACGTTGTAGAGCGCCTCTACATCGCTCTACATCTGCATCGCTCTGTCCCGCGGCGGATGTAGAGCTCTACAGCTCTACAGCGCTCTAGAGCGCTCTCCAGCGCTCTACATCTCTACAGCTCTACAGCGCTCTACACTCTACATCCTCTACACCCTCCCTCAGACCACGCCCTCCTGCCCCTCCTTGTCGAGAAGGTCGAAGTAGTGGCCGTGCGCGTTGGCCGTGCGCCGCTGCTCCTCCACCGAGTCGCAGCCCAGCGCACTCTCGATGCCCTGGATGTACTCGTGCGCCGCGGCGACCGACTCGGCGCGCTTGGGCCAGACCAGCTCCTTCTTCGCCATGTCCAGCCACTGCGGCTGCCACAAGTCGGCCGCCATCGGGTGCTGGCCGCCGTCCTTCTCGTAGCGGAGCACGGCGCTGAAGGCGTTGCCTCCGAAGATGACGCCTAGAGGGCATGCATGCCGTGAAGAGTGGGGCGGAGGCTCCCACGTCACTCCGGCGACCCGCGGATGCCTACGAGGGGTCAAGAGAGCTGTGGCCGGCGAGGACTCGCGGAGAGGGGCAGCTGCGGTGCGTCGCACCTGGGGGATGAGAGGGTCTCAGGCGAAGGTGGGGCGGGGCGGGGCGGGGCGGGGGGGGGGGGGGGAGGAGGCGTTGGCCTTTATACGCTTTTCTCGCCGAGGACTATCTATATTCTTTTTGCGCCAGTCCCGTGCCCAGTGTTGTGCGAGGGAGTTTTGTTGTAAGATTCTTTTTGCGTATTCTTTCCGTATTCTTGTCCAAATGGTCTATATTCTCGAATATGGCAAGAATGTGGCTCCAAATAGGGCCTATATTCTCGAATATTCCTTATATTCCGGCTGAAAATCGCTGAAAATCGCTTCGAAAAAGAATATAGAATATGAAGAAAAGCGTATAAAGCAGGTACTGTACTTGGCTAAAGTCTGTGCAGCTTGTCGGGATCACGATCCCGGCGTGAACACGACTAACTGACGGATCCGCTCCTGACAGTGGCATGCACCGCGCCGCGGCGCGTGCCACTGTCTTTGTTTGAAGTAAAAAGTCGAATCAGAGCGCCGTCGGCGCTCATCCCCGATTTCCTCCCCCGGCCCCCCGTCCGGCACCGCTCCGGGACGCACGCCGGCGAAGCACCATCAAGCTGCTGTACGGCCCCGGCATCGCCTTCCCAGGCTTAGCTAGACTGAGTGAGAGATATTGTGCACATGGTCAGTCTCTACAATATATACACTGGCACTGAACCTCCCAGAGCTCGTCCCGGTCCGTCACGGCCATCCTCGGCCTCCGGAGGGCGGAGGGCCCCCGGCCGCGGCCGGCGCGGTGCGGCGGCGTCACAAATCCGACCGCAGAGCACCGGGACGCGGTCGGGGGATCTGAGGCCCAGTGAGGCGTATGCATTGCCCATCCAGGGCTATCACCTGGACCTATCAACAGGCGCCTGCGGCGCCGTGGTCAGGAGCTGCTGTTCACAGCTGCACAGACTTTGGTACGGCACAGTACGGCACAGTACGGACAGCACGGGGGCCAAAGGAGGTGGGCAGGCGAGCTCCGTGCTGTCCGTAGGACAAACTCCCCGCCACCTCCGCCTGCAAGCACGAATTGATGCCGATCTGGGGCGACGCTGTCGCCTTCTACTCAGTGCTAGGCGTCAGCTTCATCGCCCTTCTGCTCCGCACTCTGCTTGCGCAGCCGCTCCTGCCGTTCAGACTCGACGACGCTGAGTGGTCATCGACGTGGCTGCTCACGACAGTTGCCGATTACTACGTCTCCACGCTCTGCCTGTGCGGCGTCATTGTGGCCACCGACGGCTGGCGCGTAGGAGGATTGTGGGCGGCTCTGTGTTGTGTGCTTGGCAGCGCCTTCGCCTGCTTGTGGGTGGTCCGCCGACTGCTGCAGCGCGGCACGCTGCGCCTAGCGGGCAGCGCGGACGGCGCGTTTGCGTACGATTGAGGAGGATCCGCGAGCGGCACATGACATTCCCCGGTCAGCAGTTTTTGTACAAAGGAGAGGGGGTGCGGCGGCCTGTGCTACGTACTCTCTCTATCTGTCTATCTCTCTCTCTGTCTCTCCTGCTGAGTGCTGAAGAGCAGTGCTGTGTAAATTATTCTGATAAAATAGCAATCTCAAACCATAGACGTCGGGGACGAGACGGCCGGCGCCCCAGCCGGAGCCGCGCCCGCCTCTCGCGGGGGGCGACATCCGGGGGTGGAGGAGGAGGCCACGGAGCTGCGCCGGGGGAGCGCTGCCGGCTCGCCGCTCACCCCGCGCTGCACCCACCACCCGCTGGCCTCCTCGCTCGTCGCGGAGAGGGTGCTTGTGGAGGCGGATCGCCGGGCGCCGCCCATTGGAGCGAGCGAGATCTCCAGCCCGCTCACCGCCTCGCGGGCGAGGCCCTGGCTGTGCGCCGGAGAGAGGTGCTGCGCCTCCGCGTCGCCGCCCGTCCCACCGGCCGCCGAGCCGCCGCGAGTCTGCCGCGCAGCCGCTTGCCGCTTCCGCAGCCGCGTGCCGCTGCGGATGCTCGCGAGCGCGCCCCCTCCCGTCGCGTTGCCGCTCGCGCCCGCCGCGCTGGCGGCGGCGATGGCGGCGGGGCTGGCGGCGGTGGGCGTCGTGCCGCGCCGGTGTGCGGTCAGCGTCCTGCACGCTTGCAGCTTCGCGCGGGTGCGCTGCCACGCCGGCGACAGGGCGGCGAGCATCACCTGTTCCTCGCCCGCCCGCCCCTGCTCGTCCTCGCCCTCGCTGTGCGCCGGATCAAACGCGGCGCTCACGCCGCGCCCGCCCACGACGCCGTCGTCCTCGTCCTCGTCCTCGTCCTCCTCGTCCTCCTCACCACTAGGGCGCGTGAGGGGCGGGCCGGGAAGCGCGCAGCAGGCGGGCGAGCAGCAAGTCGCGAGGGCGGAGGAGGCGCCGCGGTAGAGCCGCCGTGCGACGGCCGCCGGGTAAGCGAGCGGCCCGCCGGGGAAGAGGCCAAAGAGAGTGAAGAGGAAGATGCCGCCCGCGTTGTTGAGGACGGAGGTGACGAGAAGCATGTGCGCCACCGAGCCACGGACATCGGCGCCGGCAAAGGCGGCGACGGCGACCGAGGCGGAGGAGAGGAGGCGCGTCGCGCCGATGATGGCGAGGATCTCGACGCGAGTGGCGGCGGTGATTAATTAATTAAGGCGGTAATTAATTAAGGTAATTAATTAAGGCGCACCTCGACACGGAGGGAGAAGGAGTGGGTGGACAGCTCGCCGTGGCGCGAGGATAGGTCGGCGGGCACCAGCGACCCCTCGGCTCGCGCGCGGTGGTAGACGATGGTTGCGAGGCCGGCGGCGTGCGCCGCGGCGAATGCGGCGTAGACGACGCCGGCGACCAGCGACTGCGAGGCGGCGAGGGCGCCGTGCGCCACAGAGAAGGGGAGCCACATGTGCACAAACGGCTCGACGGGGTAGCCGAGAGCCGCCCAAGGCAGGGTCATCGCCAGCCCGAAGCAGCCGACCGCGCACACCGCGCCCGCCTCAGACCCCCTCGCCCGCCCTCCGCTCCCTCTGCCGCGGTCGGCGGCCGCGGAGCTGTGCTGAAGCTTGTCGTGCGCCGCCACGCCGACGACCGACGCCCGAGAGCGCAGACGGTCGGGGCGGCGCATCGCGGGCGCGCTGGGCAGCATGTCCCGCGAGCTGCCGCCCAGCCGCGCGATCTGCCAGCTTCCGGCGGCCCTTCGCGGCAGCGTCGCGGGGCTGCTCTGCTCAGCAAAAGAGCGCTGGGCTCTCTTCCGCCACTGCGACGCGATCAGCGCGGCGCGCGCCTGGCGCATCGCCTCGACCCGCGCTCGCTCGCGCCGCTGCGAGAGCGAGCGGAGGCGCAGCGCCTATCTCGCAACCACGCGCACCCCTGTCACGCGCGCTCCGGTCACACCGCCCCTGTGAGGGGGGGAGCGAAGGGGGGGGGTCGCCTCCCCCACCACCACCCGCAGCAGCGCCGCCTCCTTGGCCCATCGGAGCACGTTGATCAGCTCGAAGATGAGCCGCTCCCGCTCACTCGCCGGCTCGTGCCCGCCTCCAGCGTCCGGCCCCTGCTCGTACCCCCCGTGGGGCGACGAGGGCGGCGGCGGCGGCGGCGAGAACCAAGCCTGCGTGAGGAAGTCACCAACGTCAGGTCGCGAGTCTAACCCACCCGCCACCCCAATCCCCCTAACCCCCCCTCTACCCCCCCTCTACCCCCCCTTTACCCCCCCCCCCCCCCCCACAAGCTCGCAAGCCTTGTGCCGTGTATTCAGAGCACCGCGTGAGTACACGGGCTGACTGCAGCGGAGTACAGCCGAGTAGGAGTCCACTCTCGAGCTCGTCGGACGCACACAGATCTGACTCCGCATCTAGAGAGAGCCACACCGGGTCGGCGTCAAAGAGGGCGGCGACGTGGCCGAGGCCGAGCCACCGCCACTGCCCGCCGATCTGTGAGTCAGACTCTGGGCGGGACGGGTCCGCGGCTAAGTGCCTCGCCTGCGGGACACGTGTCGGAAACGTGTCACCGAAATGCCCCTCTCTGCGAGCTGCTGACAGATCGTGTCCGTCGCCTGCGGGACACGTCGGGGAGATGTCACACGCACATCGGGACACGGCAACCTCGCCCGCCGCGTCGGGTGTCACCGACGCGGCCAGGAAGAGGTACGCCGCTAGGTAGCCGAGCTCGAGCGGCAGCAGCAGCAGGAGGCGGCGCAGCGGCGGGCGCCACCAGGCGCGCCACCAAGCCGCCGACGAGACGAGAGCGGCCGTGAGCGCGAGCGAGAGCGCGCGCGTGCACTGCAGCGCGGCGTGGCTCACGCGCCATGCAGTGACCTGAGCGCGGGACACGCCGAGGACGTGTCACGGACGTGTCCAACCTGAGGCGGCCCACGCGCGGCGCCGACCTGCCCCTCCCCGCTCACGAAGAGGATGGCCGCCGCGAGCAGGAGGAGCGGGAACGCGACCACCTTGCCCACGTTGAGCGTCGCAGAGAGCTGCAGCAGCTGCTGCGCGCTCGGAGCGTACGCCGACACCTACGCGGTCGTGGCGCGCGCGTAGAGAATGCGTGACGCCTGCATCAGTGCGGCGCGGCGCCCGACGCCAGCACGAGCGACGAGCCCGCCGCCGGCAGCACGCCAAAGGTGAAGCCAAACTCCTGCGCGCTCCGGTCGCCGCCGAGGGCAGCGACGGTCCCCTTGATGATGGCAGGCAGTACGAGCGACTTGAGCAGCGCCAGCGCGAGGGGGAGCCACGCCGAGTCGAGCCGCGCCAGCTGTGAGAAGGAGCCGACGCTAGCCGTGCCGGCGAGGAAAAAGACGCCCGGCGCGAACGCGCCCGCGAGCAGGCTGACGACGTCGTCCAGGAAGAAGGGCAGCGGCGCGCCCTTGAGGCGGCCGAAGGCGGCGTTGTACGCCACCGCAGTGACTAGCGCCTGCACGAGCCGTCGGCTGTCTGGGAGCTGTCCCGGGGCGGTCTCGGAAGTGTCTACGAAAGGTCGCGCTGCAGCCACACTTTAATTCATCTGATTCGACTCCACGCGAGCGCCTGCACGAGCCGGTTGCGCTGCAGCCCGCGCACCACGCAGCCGACGATGGCGGCCGTCGCCTCGGGCGGTGTGCCAGCCCTCGCGGCGTCGCGTCGCGCCACGCCGACGCCGAGGAGGATGAAGGCGAGCACCTGTCCACGGGCCGGCGGCGTGAAGAGGCGCTGCCGACGCCCGCCGGAGGGGGGACGGAGGGTGGCGGCATTGAACAGCATCATCTGGACGCTCGAGAGGAGGAAGAGGAGGGACACTTGCTCGGGCGGGAATAGGGCGCCCATCACGGGCAGCCCGAGCCCGAGCTCGTCGCCGTTGGTCGTCAGGATCGCAAACATGCCGCCGTTGATCTCGCTCTCGCCGGGCGGGACGAGGGCGCCTCGCCGCGCCACCTGCCCCATCACAATTGACGCCGCGACCATGCAGAGCTTGCCGACCAGCGTGCCGACGAGGAGCGACAGGTCGACCGCCCCAAAGTCGAGCGCAGCCACCGCGCGAAAGAGGATGGCTGGCAGCGAGACGCCGCCGATGAAGGCGCCGACGCCCGCTTCGGCGGAGGCCGGGAACATGCGAGTCACCTTCATGTAGCCTCCGACCAGCTGCAGGAGGACCGTGGAGAGCAGCACCCTCCCGAGCGCGAAGATCACTGAGGCCGTGCCAGAGGCGGCGGCCGTCTCGGGCGCGTCGGCCGCGTCGTCAGACGACATGGAGCGTCGTTGCACACACACCAGCTGGTTGCATAGCCGCAGGGCTCGCACTTTCTTTTTTGGCACTTCTTTGGTGTTAGTTTCAGTTTACAGGTAGATTGTTATATTACAGTGGGTTGCGGGCATTAAGAAAACAGGATTGCGCGGCACGCCGCCGTTTCTAAGCCTTTCCTCACCCCTCACCCACCCCATGCGGTGGTTTCTTCCGGCCGGCACTCAAGCCAGAGCCGGCCCGAGACGGCTACCGCAATCTCATGTAGGGTCCCCCTATCGGGGTTATGAGGGTTTACGAGGTGTGAACGTGAACAGAGTAGCCATGCGTGCCGCTGTCGATCGTTACGGCACGCATGGGGGGGCTCCCGGACGTAGATCTATGATCCTAGCCCCCCCAATAAGTGCAGCGCTGTCGCGGCGCCGAGAACCCCCAAAACTCGCGAGACCTCGATACTAAAAACTGTAGGTCGTCTGTAACTTTGCGAGGGGCTCCGACCTTGGTTGGCGCGCCCCGTGGATTCGGCACCTTCGACCTTCCTTCCTTGGCGCTGGGGTACTTTTAGGCCAGATTTCGAGGTGTGTCGAGCTCCCTGTCCCTCGCGTCGCCGCGGGTGTCCCCTGTCGCAGCTCATAACGTGTCGCGGCCGCCCTCTGGCCGTCCAACAACAAACAGGTCCGCTGCACGAAGGCACGGCCTCTCAGGCAGGTGCGCGCAACGCCCAAACCCCTCCCTGCCCGCGAGACGCCAAACAGCCCTGTTGTGCACCATAAAATGCCGAGGGCCGATGCACCCAGCGGCGTGTACCCCACGCAGCTCGACCACACACACACCACCGGACGGCCTCTCTCTCGCGTGCACTCGTAGGGCAGGTCGCCGCGCAAGTTCGATGCGAGCTGATGTGGCGGCCAGCCTGCGCCGCTGGCCGGCATTTTTCTTCTTTCCCGCGGAGCAGCCAACATTACAGTTGTACCAGGGAAGCGCGCCACCTGTTCAGAGCAAAGAAAGGGAAAATACCTGTTCCCTTCACGTCCAACGCGGCGCGCACCATATTGGTGGTCGTTCAGGGCGGCGGCGCGCACAGCGCCCGCACAGTCCGCACACGCACACACACACACACACACACACACACACACACACACACACACACACACACACACACACACACACACACACACACACACACACACACACACACACACACACACACACACACACACACACACACACACACACACACACACACACACACACACACACACACACACACACACACACATCTGCATGCACGATTTAATGGCGCGGAGTGCCCCCGTCCACTCGGCGGGATCGCAGCTGCCTCTGCGCGTCCTGGAGATGTACCAAATCGTCGCCGCCGGAGACGACTCGACGCCGCTGAGATCGGAGATCAAGCTCTGACAGGTCGCACGTCGCTCCTTTGACGCCGACGTGACTCACCCGTGCAGATCACATCAGGACACGGTCTCGACGCGCTCGGTACGACGCCTGCGACCCGTCTCGGCTCAGGTGGCACGACGCTCATCGCGCCCGCCAGCGCTGCCGTGCAGGTTGCCACGACGAGGTCGAGAACGCTTCATACGCTCGCCGAGCCTTCCTTTCCATCCCATTAGGCAGCCTGGGAATGGTGGCGGTCAGAGGCAAAGCCTACGAGGGGTGGTGGAACCACATGTCACGGCTACTGCCGGCTCGACCCCACGATAGCCTCCGAAGGCTGACTTTGCGGCACCATCATCGGACGATGTCGACGAGTTGGGTCGCTCTCGCGGTAGCCAGATGACCTCTCATACTAGGAGCATCGGCCATGGCCGCAGGGAGCGCGGGGGAGGGCGCTGGAAGCAACACGGAGCTCCGTTGGAGACGTTTTCAAGATTAGCGTGTCAGAGTGAAATGGCACTAGCCTGAGATCGGAGATCAAGCTCTGACAGGGCGCACGTCGCTCCTTTGACGCCGACGTGACTCACCCGTGCAGAGCACATCAGGACACGGTCTCGTCGCGCTCGGTACGACGCCTGCACCCGTCGGGTCAGGTGGCACGACGCTCATCGCGCCCGCCAGCGCTGCCGTGCAGGCTGCCACGTCGACAAGGTCGAGCACGCTTCTATACGCTCGCCCAGCCTTCCTTTCCATCCCATTAGGCAGTCTGGGAACGGTGGCGATCAGAGGCTAGAGGCCTATGAGGGGTGGTGGAACCACATGTCACGGCCACCGCCGGCTACTAAAGCCGTACGTAGAGCCTAAAGTCGTACAGACAGCCTCCGGACACCGTTCCATCTGTGATCTGACTTTGAGGCACCATCATCGGACGATGTCGACGAGTTGGGTCGCTCTCGCGGTAGCCAGATGACCTCTGTCCTCTCATAATACTAGGTGAAGTAGGATCATCGGCCATGTGGGATGTGGCCGCAGCGCGCAGGGTCCAGGGACCAGGGTCCAGCTCCACCTCGCCTGGGAGCGCGGGGCCGGGGGAGCGGGAGGGCGCTTGGGAGTTGGGAGCAACACGGAGCTCCGTTGAACGTTTTCAAGAACAAGATTAGCGTGGGTCAGGGAACTCAGGGTAAAAATTGGAACTAGCCACAGCGTCACAATCAACTCAACGCGCCGCGCTCCGCCACACCGAGAGGCTTGGTGTCTTCCTCAGTACGTTGGGGGCGCGCCGGGCCGCTTGCTTGCTGAGCGCAGGGGGCGAGAGACGAAGGCGGCGAGGGCGTGGCGTGGGTTCCCCGCCCGCGGGGAGAAAGAAGCAATCTCACGCAGGCCTTGCGGGCACCACATCTCGGCCTTATCGGCCTCCTCGCAACATAAGAGGGGGGGGGGGGGGGGCTAAAACCGGGAGGGGGGCAGCAAAGGGCCGCAAGTGTACAGGCAGTGTGCAGGTGAGGAGGGCCAGAGAGACGTCAGGAACGCCCCGCGGACGCCTCCCGGTCCACAGCCAGGAGTGGCTGGCCTAGCGACCAGCGCTCACTTCTTGCCGTTGCCGAAGATGGCGCTGAACTTGGCGGCCGTGGCGGCGAGCTGGTCGCTCATCTTGGGGCCGGTCTTGGTTTCCGCCAGCTTGCGGCGCCCCCCCCCAGAAACCTCGATGTCGGGGGGTTCCGGCGGCGAGCTTCCGTCGCACGGCTTGAACTGGTTCGAGAACGGGCTGCACCACTCGGTGTACCCAGCCGGGCCCGACCACGCCGCGCCCTTGAAGGGCCAGGAGTCGTAGCCGGGTCCGTAGGGAATCATGGGCGGCTCGCCGGCCGTGGCGTTGCCCCGGGTTGGGTAGCCCTGCGGGAAGACTGCGGCACAGGAGGGAGAGGTGGTGTGAGGTGGGGTTTAGTCCAAATGCACAGGGGTTTGGGGGGGGGGGGGGGGCGAGGCGCACAGCAGTCGGAGCATGGCTGGCAACCGACGGCGGCGACTCCTTCGGGGTCGCCCCAGCCTAGGCGGAACAAGAGGAGTCTGTGAGTGTGGGCAGGGACGGAGGGGGAGGAGGAGGAGTCGCACCGTAGTGATCGGTGTTGCCGTCGCCCCAGCCGAGGATGGCGCCCGCGTAATCGTCGGAGCACGCGAGGATCTCAGTGGGGAACGAGGTCGTGTTGGGGAACGAGGCCCCAATCCACGGGTTCTCGGAGTAGCAGAGGTAGGGCGAGACTCCCTCAGGGCAGGGGCCTGGTCCGTAGACGGTGATCATCTCGCCCGGTCGCTCGGCGCAAGCCTCACTGCAGGCCCCAAAGCCGGTTGGGTTAATCCAGGCCTCGGAGGCTTCCAACGTGGGCATGTAGTCAAAGATTGCGCGCGGCGTGAACTCCGTGTACGGAAGGCCGCTGCGGTTCTGCATGCACTCCGACGGGTAGCCATCCGGAAAGACTGCGACGGAGAGGGGAGGGGGGTTGAGGCGCGTGTGCGCTTGCGTGCGCGCGCGGGCGTGCGGGGCACAGCAGTCGCAGCGCTCGGGCACTGGGGGGGAGGGGGGAGGGGGGCGAAGGCGCACAGCACTCGTGGCAAGCCGCACAGCCCACCGACTCGCGGCAAATCTCGCTCCACCAGCCGTAGCGGTCGGCGCCGACGCCGCCGCAAAGCGCCCCCGGGAAGCCGCCTGCTGGTCCGTCCCCTGGTGCACTCGCGCAACCGGTAGTGTAGGTGATGCCGGCAGTGAGATTGAAGGCTTCGGCGATGGCTGCGAGGACGGGGTTGTGAGCGAGCGACATGAAGAGGTCTACGTAGGTGACGCCACTTCCAGGCGCGGCGGTGGTGATGGTGTTCATGGTGAACTCGGCGGTGCAGTAGGGGCCGCAAGGCGTGTCTGGTCCGAAATTTCCGGCCCACGATTCTTGGCCTATGGATCAGGAACGCGAGCCCCCTCTTAGGCATGCGCGCCATCCAGCAGCTGCGGGGGTCCGTGCAGCACACCGGCGGGCGAAAAATGCACACCGATGCCGGGGAAAGCATCCGTCTGGGGGCCCAGCGCCGTGCAGCCGGGGTCGGGCATCGAGGAGAATCCCGCCGCCTTGCCGGCGAGGAGCGCGAGGAGGACGCGGTACATCATCGGAGAAATCTGCGCGGGGCGGGGCGGCGGGGGAGTGAGAATAGTGTCTCGAGCAGCGGCGGGGGCGGGGGCGGCAACGGGGGCGAGGGGGCTGGAGGCGGGGTCGAGGCGGCTGTAGGCGAAGACGCGTTAGGCTTGCCCGGCGGTTTGGAGGCATAAGCTTGGGACGGGGGGGCGCGGCCGCGCGAGCGTCGGTGAGGCGTCGGTGATGGGGCGGCGGGGTTTGATTTGGGGGGTCGGAGTGGGAGCTCGCCCGGTGCGGTGGGCGAGTGCACGCGGCTGGGCGGAGAGCGGGGCGTGCCGCGATGGGCGGCGATGCCTTCTGATGGCCGTGCTCTTGAGAGCTCGCCGTGTTCTTGCCTGCTGTTTTGCGATATCATTGCCTAACCCCCTCTGCGTAAGGGTTTTCTTCTTCACGCCGGTGCTTCGCTCGAGCGTGTCGTCGTCATCTGTCTCGCG